GGGGGTCACCATTTTCCCCGGAACAGGCCATTTAACCCTCCAAATGATTTCTAAACGGGTTTATTAAGCTGAAAAAGTTGCCAAGTTCCCCTTTAAAACAAGTCAGATACAGTTTGTAGACTGCCATCAGTGATCTATAGAGATAAAGAAAGGGAATAACAGCTTTAACCTCTAAACAATGAATGAACTCTTTGTTTCTTGACATACTTTGGCATCATTAACACAACATGCATATGGGCCTGCAGAACAGCTTTCCTTCTTGTAGCTAACCACAAGCAATGTTGATTGCTTCATTACTGACATTATATTCATCATCATCTCAGATCGATGCAACAGAGCACACAGTCTACAACAGCGAGTGTAGCAATAAAAACACAATTATAGTATCCACATCTGGAGGCAATGTGATTCTTGTGCAGTGGAACCGCAGCCAAAGATGCTGTTTGAAACTTTATACTGGAGGTGCAGCTCCTGGAGAGAAAACAAATCAATTTGTGGTCCTGTTTTCTGATATTTTTTCTGGAAGCCTTCCCCTGATTGTCTAAAAAAAGGACAGACTAATATAAGATGCATTTCCCTCATTCTCTATGAATTTACATGCCCCATTGGGAAATGATATTATTTAGTGTATGGGACGTTATGCTATTTTAAAATAATGAGTAGTTGGGTTGTTGGATATGTTTTGTTTAAATGCCTCAATTTAAGAGCAAACTCATCCAGAGTAACCAATTCTGAAATACTATAAAAGGAAAAACACAAAAATAAAAACAGTCAGCACCAGTCCTTATCATGGCACCTGTACCCACGTAGTATACTGACAATAGGGTCCTGTTCCTGGCTTAAATACAAAAGAGAAACCAACATAAAAAGGTCTGTGCATTAGTCATCCATGATGCTGCAGAGTCCTGTTCATACAGAGGAAGGGTCCAGTCCTGCATCAGCCTGCAGTTTTCTTCTTCATGGAGTCGTAGACAGGAAAAATAAGAGGTCCGATAAGAAGATTGTTGTTACACATTCCTTCTACAGAGTGCTGGTCCAGCAGACGGTGCCTCCTCCTTCACACGAGTGCTGAGGTTTGACCCAGATACAGTACGTTGGTACAAAGACACTGGGAGTGAGGAGTGTGCAGCAGTATCCCTGTGGTCAGCAGGGGAGGATAGTGAGGTCACTGAGGTTAGCTTCAGTTCACCAGCAGGACATCCTCATATGTCGTCGTTCTGGGGGCAATAAAAGGAAGATGGCTCATGTGATGATTTTTTTTATAGTCATTATATTTTACATCATAATCGGATATTCTATCGGACTAACAGAATGGTGGTATTTAGTGTAACATTTAAAAAATATGTTTGAAACAGATTTTTTTTTTAAATGGGGAAATAGAATATTTTTTTTAAATCTGATCTTCACTGTGCTCAATCTATCTCGAAATATTATTTATTTAGTCCTCATCAATCGATCATGAGAGAGATGATTGTCTTACCTGTCACAGCAGCAGAAGAAGGAGCACGGCGAGGTCTCCAGACCCCTGAACTTCCCTGAGTTAGGTGCGTCCGTACACTCGGCTATGAAGGCGTGCAGGTCTGTGATATGGAAGGGTTCTTGGGTTTGGTGCTGTGGAAATCAACAAGTATTTATTACCACAATCTTCCTTTTTCTATTGACACCATTCTGGCAGTCGGAAAAACCGAAAACATAACCTGGTTTAAGTCAATGCCATTTCCTACCTTGATGGTCTCGTAAGCTCCTGTGATGAGAGCGATAAACAGCGACAGCACCATGTAGATGAAGAGGGAGATGAAGGTGTACAGGTAAACTTGGCTGAAGAGCCACACCAGAGTGCTGCTTTCCTGCATCTCCGAGAACGTCACGAACATGTCGTCACCGTTAATGAGGGAGAACAGGCACTCTGACACCATGGACAGAGAGCGGAACTGAGGGAGAGAAAACAGCAATCAAACATCTGCAAACGTTAAGAAATTAGGGTGAATTTTGTTTGTCTATACGGTAAGTAAAGCCTTAAGTTACAGGAAACAATGTTCCACTTCCACAAGGAAGGTGGGGAAGAAAGGGACAGGATGACAGAGTCCAGTTTTCTGTTGTTAACTCTAAAGTTTCAGAGTCACTTCCTGTGGAGAAATGTCCACAAAGACACCAACATTTCATATGGGAGTGAGGTGGCCAGAAACATGACTCCAAATGAACAATAATATTGCTCCGTAACTTCTGTATGTGTAAATAAGCAACTCAAAAAAGTGACAATATGTCAGTCTTGTGTTCACGAGTTTTCACTGCCACAATAATACATTGTTTCTGTAGTGATTTTACTGCACCAAATAATCACATCTGAGTCTACAAGAGTTTCAGTTTTGTTAACCTTGACGTGGTATGGTCCCAGGACAATCCAGCCACAGAAGCAGTAGCCCAGATAGATGACGGCCACGCAGCAGCAGAACCGAATCACATTAGGGAACGCTGCACGAAGTGTCACAATCAGGATCTATGGCACAGAGGCACAGAGACATTAGACAGATCAAATTACAATGTCAGACAGATCAAAGAGACTAGATTAACAGGATTTATTACATTACATCAATCCATTAAGAGGAGCATTTTCTCACCTCTCGACAAGTTATTAAATCGACAGCAGCTGATGTACACCAGTGTATCTGTGACTTACATTGTACTTCTGGAAGAACGTGAGGTAGCGAATTACTCCGACCCACACCAAGAGTGTGGAGGTTCCCAACAGGATGCCACATGTGTCATACGAGGACATATTCTGTCAGGAGAGAAGAAAAGACACTTTGGATACAGGCAGCGCAATTTCCCAATGAACACACAGCATGACAGTCAGTGTGTTGACGATTTTCTCAACGATGACAACAACAGTGCGCACAGTGCTTGGCTAAAGGCTTGTTGAGTTCAGTGCAACTAACCACAAGGAGAAACTATAGACACACCTTCGACTCGATGCCGATTTTGATGATACTGCCGGTTATGGTGAGGACGTCGCTGACAATAAGGAGCATATACCAGCCATTAATGAACTCCAGCCGGTCTGCCCAGCACACTTTACGGTCCAGAGTCTCCCTGAAGAACTGCACAAACTCCTGATAAACACACAGAGACATTAAAATGATAATACCATGAGTATGCTTACTATTATTGTGAAACAAGGTATTATTTTCCACTAATTTTCAGACTTTTAAGTAACCTTTTCCCTCGAGTCTGGCTTTCCGTACCTGTTGCAGAATGATGCCTCGCAGTATGGATCGTCCACACAGCAGCAGTGACAGCACGCACACCAGAGCCACAGCCACATCAAACGCTACACGTGTGTAGTTTTCAGCTGGAGGTAAAAGGGAGAAAGCAGAGCGGTTAGCAGTGTTTCAGTTGGATGTAATTTATCAGTACTACTGAAATTTTCCTTAACACCTCTGCTAGCTTTCTACAAGTTTAGAGTCATGTTTCCTTTGCATACTACTCCTGCAGTATTTCTGTGACTGATATGAGCCATAAATTATTGAATGCTCTGTCCTCTAATCCACTCAATCTGGTGTCTCACCATGTCCAGAGACACTCGGGTCTTTACACTCCTTTATGGTTGCCTGGTTTTCTAACCGGATCTTCACTTTGCCGCTGTGGGCCTTGTTGTCCAGGACTATCTGGAGGAGAGAGGCCAACACAAGATAATTCATATTTTTTGAAATTGCAGGTTTTTTTTAGAAAATAGTTTGTTTAATGAAACATAGACAGTGTCTTGCTTTGTTTTAGTTCAGTGATGCACAGTGCTGCAGCTACTACTGAGAGCAAAGAAGTAACTTACTCTGTAATTTTTCTATCAATTTGATGGATTTAATGACAATGGCAATTACACAAATTGTTTGATTAAATATTTTAAAGTTTGACTGGTTTTTATAAAAAGGGATTTAGTATTTTTCACCATAAACCACGGAGAAAACAAATTTAATCAAAGATACAATCCAGTGAACATCACTACGTCTGGATATCTAAAGTATGAGCTCTTCAGCAGTGCTGGGAATTAAACCATCAACACCTTGAAAACAAGGCAGCCTCTCTAATCATCCATTACCTCTGGATCAAGCATGCGTATGTCTTTGCCTTTGCTCACCGTTATGTGAAAAGTGTAGCAGTCTGGGATCTCATTGTTGATTATGGTCTGTATATTGATCGCCTTTAACTGGAACTCTATAGTGACGTTAATGAACCTTGAAGAAAAAAAAAATGATGGTAATTAAGAGGGAAACAGACACATATTGGGAAGCAGAAGGAGATATTTTATGTTGCTACGATGACTTGCATACCTGTGTGTGTGTGTGTGTGTGTGTGTGTGTGTGTGCTTTTGTACAGAAGCCTGTGTTAGTGCTCTTGTATACATGCGCAGCAGAGATAAATGAATTGTTCAATGTCATCATCAGATAATACAGAGATAAATCTCACCAATGGACTCCGAAGCCAAAGCCAAGTGAAAAATGAAGCCTTACTTGTGGAACTTGAGGGTGAAGTTCTTGTAGCTGTTGGTGAGTGGAGCTGGAGGGACGGACAGCGGAGTCACACCTATACAGTCTAAAAACGGTGGAGAGCAGACAGGGAACAATCGTGTTGACAATCAAAGAGAGGGGAAAGACTGAATTTCCAATTTCTGGGATTTTGCTGTTCCTCTCTATATAGTGAGTACAACATCAAACAAAACAAGTCTGAGTAATCTTTTCAGAATTATTAGAAGTAGCAGATCACAAATAAACATCTGACATACGTGAAGAAAGATTTGAAGAAAGATTTAAACATGAGGTTTCCATTGTTCTTAGTTCCTCTTAATTTGGCCAAATCTGACTCAAAAACAGCAATATGAGGAAGTAAGAAATTCTGAGGGTATGCAACACCCTCTCTCACCAGAATTGTGCATATGGCATATAAATAAGGTAATGTACAAAAATGCAGGTGACAAAGGGTCACCCTCCCATTAAACATTTACAGTATACAATAAAACATAACCAATTATATACATTATTTTTATTTATTACAACTGTGTTTTAATATATTATCATTCATTAGCTGTTAAATTATAGTTGTTGACAAACACATTAATAAACATTTATATCTGTGCACAACTATATTAGTGTATTATAAACCATTCATTAAATGTTTATAGTTTGTTATAAATCAAAGGTTATAAAAAGGGTAGCACCTCAACAATAATAATAATAATAATAATAATAATAATAACTGGAGTTTCCTTTTTTGAATTTTGACAATCATAGGACAAAAAGTGAAAATACAGGATGCTGGATTACAAAAAACAGCAAGTTCACACACACTAATAATAATAATAATAATAATAATAATAATAATAATACCATACACATTACGCAGTGACAATAAAATTAGAAAACAATGCAATTATTACGAGATATGTATATCACGGTATATTTTCACCTCATAATTTCAGTAAAATGTGATATGAAAGCCAAAACAAGTCTCTGGGATTGTTCTTTTCTGGAGTTACAGTTATTTTTTTATTTATTTTTTAGACAAGCCTTTGTTGCACTTGTTGAGAAGACACTGCAGCTCTGGTAGCGACTCTTGTTAGAGCCAGTGTGCATCCTCAAACACTCCTCTAACTCAGAGGTTTCCTTTTGAAGTGATTAAAGAGGATACTTGTGTTGCTCCCTCAGGCACACAACTGTCACCTTGGATAGTCTGCAGATAACCGTACTCTGCTTGACCTCTGACTGTTAAAAGCCAAATTATATGAAAACTATGCATAAAGCAAGATTGTTCCTTCTGTGGTCTGCCTCTCCAGCACTATCTTTACTTTTTCAGTTGTTTTAGTGTAAAAGGGAAGTGTGCACTTGTGTTATTTGGTGACTCTGAGTGAGTTATCAGCTGCTTATCATGCAGCAGCACGAAATCCATTAAATGTGAAAATGTTGTTTCACAGAACACCCTTCTCGCACCGTTAGTAAAATCACAGGCCATCAATATCTCTTCCACATTGTACAGTGTAGTTCATGTACCTGTGATGACACGAGGGTCTATACTGAAGGTGTCATTGGCTGGGTCGATGCGTCCCTTCTTGTAGTACTGTTGACAGAGGGAGAGCGCACTGCCATTCACACCAACACCATAGACGTATGCGTAGCGTCCCACTGTGGTCTCTGGTAAGGCCAGATACTGGGGGAGAGTATGAGAGAATAATAAGTGAGTTAAAAATGTTGAGCGAAACTTGAACGAAAAATGTGCACATATCTTACATAAATGTGCAGACACAAGAGGAAAAAGGAGAGAGACAGGAAGGAAATAACCAGAGTTGTTTAAAGCAGAGAGAAAGGTCATAGTTCAGTCAGCGGCTGAGCTAAATACAGATATAGATGGTACAGTGGTCCAATTCCAGTCAGTGATCTTGTTGGGATTTAACCGAGAAGGGTGCCTAGCACCGAGCACAGGCAGCCCCACACGCTGTGAAACTCTGCAGCGGGCAGGCCTGCTACCGATCTCTCTCACACACAGAGTGGAGGAAAGAAACAGCAAGAGTTGACAATGGCTCCACTGTGAGTAAAACAGCTGTCTGACAGCTGATGTAAAACGAAAGACCGGATCAATATAATTAAGCTCAATATAGCCGATACAGATCAGTTTAAAAATCGACTGTTGAGATTGGTTCGGGGCCATCCCTAACAATAACATTGTTCATAAATACTCTAACAAGTCTTGAAGTAGAATGATTTATTTTATATTAAACGAACCAATATAGATTGTTCTGTTATGAAAGAAACCACAGTTTGTGTTACAATTATAATATAATAATGATTCATCAAACGATTACATCACTACTTTAATTCCTGTATCGAAGCAGCTTTCCCATTGTCCTCAAGGTTTACCTGTTCCACGGCGAAGAAGATGTGGTCGTACACGTCGTTCTGTGTGTAAACAGCAAATGAGTCGTCTGAGGACTCATCGTAGTCTTTGAGGAAGAGGTGCTTGAAGGTCATAGTGTTCTCCTCCTTGAAGGTGACCACCACCTGGTTACTGAGGCCAAACATGACTAACTGCAGCACAGATAGAAATAATTTATGAAGGTAGACATTCATTTTTCAAAGACACACATGTAGATAGACTTTACATAATGGTTATACATCTATAAAATACAATAGTTTTATAGTACAATATCATTATGCATACCCTTCACTACTCATTCAACTAACCTCCACTTTCCATGTGTTTTCTGTACTGTTATTCATTTAATTTATTGTTTGTTTATTGAATTACTTACAAATTCATACATATTCAACTAAAAATATGTGACACGATTTTAGCAATTTGGGAAAGAAAAGAGTGATCTAAATCAAGAGAGCAGCATATGTACATACAAAGACATTAGTTACGGAGGCCCGATCAATAACAGTCTTGTAGTGAGAAACAAAACAGCCATACAGGATTTAGCTGTAACATATGATGTACCTGAGCTGTGACAATAATGATCTTGAGCAGCTGCAGGATAAGCTTATAAGGCTTGCGGCCCTTGGCGTGATATTTATCACAAGGGCTCATGAAGAAGTATTTCAACTTCCTGCGAATCGCCTCCTCTTGCTGCTCAACCCCAACCCAATGACCTGCCATCGCCGTGGGATATCGGTGGTTGCTATGGTTGCTGCCATGATTGCTACTCTGATGGTCATGCTCGCCGCTGCTGTCTGTGGAGCCGTAACGAGTCACTGAGCTCGACACTCCTCGATCTGAAAGGAAAAGAAATAATATTTTCTCAGTGATGCAGATTTTGATTATGTTTTATATCTTTCTGTCTATCTCAGTCCATACAACAAAAAGCACTTCATGAATCTTTGATCAGGACTCCTACGCAGAGACAACTGATGCACAAGATGAACAGACTCAAAATCATTCCACCAGCGTACAAGCTCACATTGGCCTTCTGGTTGTTCAGTGAAAATTGTATTTAAAAACCCTTCGTGCTACAAAGGACATCTTTAATCAGCTTACTAAACTAAGGGTGTCAATACTAGAGCCTGATTAATAAATCAAATACTGATGACAACGCTGGTTGATTCAGTCAGTTCATCAATTTGGTCCAGACTGAAATATCTCGTCAACTACTGGATGAATTGTAAAGAAATTCTATACAAACATTTGTGGTTCCCAGCAGATAAATCATATTGATTTAAGTGATTCCTTCATTTCTCCTCTAGTGTCATCTGAGGTGGAACAACGTTTGGATGTATTGTCTACAAAACTAATGACATTCTCAGTAGCCTCAGGTGAACTATATGTTATGTTTGTTTGCTAATTAGCAAAAGTTAGTATGCTTACTAAGATGGTGAACGTGGTAATCATTGGACCTGCTTAACATCACACCATTAGCATTGTCATTGTGAGCATGTTAGCATGCTAGCATGGCTTCAGTCTTGTTTATTTTATGTTAGTGGAGCTGGTCTTTGTTTCAGGGTTTGGTGGCACATCTGCTGTAAACTGTAACATACTTAAAACACAACCCTGGCTTTAATACTTTTCAGTACATGAGGTACATATTAATGGAGCTAGTAGGTAGTAGTAGTAGGTCACAAGGCTGTTATACTAAAGAACGTGAAGATGATGATAAATCATGGCCCATGGCAAAAAAGCAAACAGGCAGACACAGAGACCAGGACAAGAGTCTCGATTGTGCAGTCCGACAGTTGTGACTATAACAGCTGAGCTGAGAGGGAAAGCAAAAATCACATGAATTGAGCTTCCAAAGTGCTGAACCCAAGTCTAGTCATTTCTTGCAAAACCCGACTCCACGTTGGAGTCTCCACTCATCGACATTGACTACTTCTAGCGACAACATCTTGTCTGCCGCATTCCTGTCAGCCTGAACAGTCTGTCTTCAGCTTTTACTTTTTTCACCTCAGTCTGACACCTACTCTTTGTTTCTGAGTTTGTATGGCTTTATTCCTCTCTGTCCCCTCTGGCGCTTTGAACATGTGCTCAACCCGTCTACACATGTGATTTAACCCTTAAAACTCCAAAGCTGCAAGAACTGATAGATATAAAATGTTGGGTTATGCTACAAACTATACAGAAAGAGCCAATATATGATGTTGAGAAGTAACTATCTTAGATTTAGTGTGTAAATGTGTATCAACTAGTGACAGAGAAGGGGAGAAATCTATTTTCCCAAAGAGTCTGTAATATGTCTACTAGTTACTGCTGATATCAGTGTAGTAGATAAACAGCAGTAGGAGAAGTAAGGCAGATTACTGGTAAGGGCGGTTAGGTAGCTGACAAATGTCAGAAGTCTGGCCTGGATAAGACTGGGTTTGATAATGGTAACAACAGAAATTTGGGTTAGACGGTCAGACGACGTACAAATCTTCCACCTCATGAATAATGTTCTCCTGAGCGTGAGGACAAGGTCTTTTGAGTAATTATTGAGAACTTTTTAAACACCACTTTCCACTGGCTGAAGGACAAAATAAAGGCAAACTATAATGCTGTGTTTTCTAAAATCTAAGGTATGACAAGTAGCTTTATTAGAAATTTGTTTAATTTAAGTCTTCCTGTGTAGTAAACTGTTACATGTTGGGGATCCACTCAAATACTGTCTATACTTGATTATTACCACAAAGGCTTTAGTATAGGCTCATTGGGTACACATTTACAGAATAAGAAAGTGTTTCTGCACATTTCTGCACACTGTCAACCCTAAACCTATTGAAGATGCAATATTTCGATCATCTAATTCACAATATAAAATATGAACATCTTAATCTGAAAATTACATTACTTAAATTAGTCAAACAATATACTGTATATCAGGATCCTTAGAAGTTCAAACTTCAGGTGAGCATTAGTGTGATCACAGTATTTTAGGTGGTAAACAGCTACTTTATATGCAGCTCAATACTGTTTAGAAGGAAAATAACCACAACTATGTGTGTAACTAACTGCTCAGTAGTTTGGGGTCATTTGTGGTGAGAGAAAAAGAGGAAGAGTCGGAGCGAGACAAATGGGAGAACATCTGGTAATAAATGATCATCTCATGATATTCATCTATAAAGCTCTACTGATAAAACTTCCAAACTACCTCACATGTCTTCCTTCATTTAAATCTTATGACTACAGCACACGATTCAATGAGTACTTCCCGTAGATATTCAATATTTAAACACTTATCTTGGTAGATCTGGTTTCAGCCACGAAGAACCTAAATGAAAGACACTGCAAAGTGACCTTCAGCTAGACTCGTTTGTTCCTCTGGCAACTTTAAAGCTATTTTTTTAGTTGGTTGGCTGGTTGTGTGATTGTCTGACTCTCAGTTCTCAACCTCAACTAAAAATATTATAATATTAAATACTAAGTGCGACAACAGAGCATACCGTTTATGGTATGGAAACAAAGCCGGTCAACGTGTCATGTCTTTGTAGGAAAGTCACAAATCACAAAGTAGGCTAATCACACTTAATACTTGTCACATGCTTTTAGCGGGTTGGACCTGGCCGCTTTGAAGAAACAACAAAGAATGGGGTCTCTCAGTTTGTTCACTCAGTTGAGGAAAATGAAGTGTTTAGTTGGCACTAAACTCAAACTGGTCATTGTGGTTACAGTAGATATGGATTTTAGAGCATTTGATTAATGGTCTTTATACGACAGACACAAAAGAACTTATTTAAGTATTACTATGTAGTCAAAGTCAGCACGTGCAAGGTCAGATAAACTGCTGAGTCAGGATGAATCCAAACTCAACAGACACAATAAGTCAGCAGAGCAAACCACCAGCTAAGCACAGTTGTCTAATGGAAATGAGAAGTGAAACAGGGAAAGAAAACACCACTGTTGTTCAATATCAGTTAGCTCAAGTTCAACAGAATAGCACCACACAGAAAAGTTAGGGACTGGCGTAGCTCCAAATTCTCATTCATGTGTAATCCTGTGGCATATTTATCGAACAATAAAAAAGAATAAAATAAAGGTGTTTGTCAAGTTTTCCTATTTTTTCAACATGACACAATGCTTAGCTCCATTTCTTTACACATAGTTTGTGTGGAGCATTTTGTCTACTGTAACCGAAAGTATCCATCCATGACATAAATGTTAACAACCAGGTAACCTCATCACCAGAAATCAAAAGGCTGGGACCACTCTTAACACTATAGAACACTTACATCTAATTCATTTATGTTTTCTAATACTTTTAAGAGGTGTAATGGCTAGTGAATGTTCAGATTTTACACAGCATTCAATAGCTGGTGAGTGAAGCAAATCTACCAACTATTCACATATTTTACCAGCATTTCGGCTGGTGGCTACCTGCTGCTAATTTTGTTCTCTGGTTGTAACCTGAGGTTTTATCATAACCACATGTGGTTTCGTGCAGCAAACCAAACTCACATTCATATGGATCAGTTCCTAAATGATCCAACACCTGTTGTTATCGTATGAGCATTTCAAGCTGTTAGCATACAGACGAGGCTTCATCCGAAAATTAGCTGAAAGTGACCGCATCTTAATCAACTCTGCTACAGACGAGGAAGGCGAGGTGCCCTGGCTTTGACGGGGGTTGCGTGCCTCTGTGAGAAGAATGAAAAACAACAGAAAGAATCCAACCACTTCACATTTCATGTAGACAATGGGCGAGTGACAGAGTGCATGCATATCTTTGATCAGAGGAGTGTGTCGATCGTCACGGCGGTTAGCAATCAGACAAATAAAAGTGGGTGCAGGCCATCGACCGTGCCACCAGATTTTGACACAAGTTAATTTGTGAACATATTTGTCTCTTCCGGTTCACAGCAACACTGGCAGACACACTAACGCAGCCACAAGTCTGTCAATCAAAATCTTTACTCTGTCAACAACTTGGTATCTGTGCTTAGATCTAGTCCTCAGCAAGAGGCCACCCAACTAGCTCAGAGTCCAAAACCTCTTACCATGTTGAAGGAAGCATCGCAAAAAAAAAAAAAACTAGATATACTGATAACCATGTTGTGGGGCTATTTGTGGGTAGGAGGTGACGCTTTTTCATTAATTTATTTAGCAGCAATGTGTTTAGTTTCACTTTCCCATGAGCATTTGGTTCAGTTTTAACACAAGAGTGATCATGAGATTTTAAAAAAGGCCTGATAGTATGGCTTTAAATAGTCAAATCACTAAGCACAACAAAAGATATTTCCTGACTTACCCCCTGACTGTAGTTGTTTGGGGGAGTTTTGGTTTTATGTGCACCTCTGCCAACACAATATCATGGGGGTAGGTTAAGCAAGGAGGCAAAGCACTCGACAGCAAATCATCTTTCTAAAAGCAATGTCCCTGCTCAGGAAAATGGCAGCACAAACATAGTTTTTTGGAGAGCAGAGTTCATTATTATTTGATAAAAAGTAGCTCCAGTGCTCACAGTGAGGTCTGTGGATGATCCTGAATAACTGGGGCCTGTCTTTAAAGTGCTTCCACAAACTACATTTATTTAACCCTCTATTGAATTAGGATGGCAGACAAGGTTCTGGCAGATGTCTCAAAAGTTCTGCATATCCATATTTACATACCAACATGGGTGAACTGACCCTTTAACCTGAAACCTACTGAATACATACTGTGTGTGGTGCTCCAGAAAGAAGGGCCTTAATCTGTATGTGTGACTCCTTAAAGCAGATCAAGAAACCACAAGCTGATATGAAAAACTCAAGGTCTACTTACTAGCTTCTTTGAGAGCTTTTGACTGCATCTTAAAGTCTTAAAAGTTTCGTGAAAAAGATACTTGAATGAAAAGCTTTCTTGTCCAACTCCTGTTTTCAAGATCAATGATAAACTTTCATGCTCAATTTAAAAAAAACTTTAGACAGAGGAACACAATAATCAGTGGTACCTTACTTCACCCAACCTACATTAACAATCTCTCAAAAAACTGCAGACTAAACCATGCGTGAAAGGAGCTTATGAAACGGTGTTGGAACCATTATTATGCATGAAAGAGTCAGGCCGTTTAGATGCGCTTGACTTAGTAGATTTGCTAAAGGAGGGCTGATGGTGGTGGAGGATCTGGGTCTTAATGGGCAGAGTGACTGCAACCTCATAAACTGGGGCAAGATGTAGTCCTCAATTTAAAAGATGCATTATATTAATTATACTCGATATTACATGTAGTTAAAAGTGAACTCCCCTAAACACATCCAAAAGGGGCTGCAACTTACAATTGTTTTCTATTTTCATTAATCATTTAGTCTAAAAATGCTCATCACAAGTTCAAAGAATCAATGTCATGTTATTAAATCTTATTTTGTTTAAAAAAAATAAAAAAAAACCCAAAGATATCAATTTACAGTGTATAAACATAGTACATAAAATAGATAACAACAAGCAAATCTTCACATTTAAGAACAATTAACTAATCGGTTGGTCAACTAATAGTTTCAGCTCTTATATCAATCAATTCAAATACAGTGCCTAGTTAAATGTAAACCCTACTACAGCTTTTATCTTTGTAAGTATGATTAATTTAGATCTCTAACTCCAACTTTTATCCATTATATTTTGCTTCTGTATGACAATCAAAGGAGACCTGTTATTGTATTCCAGGTACATCTCTACCTGAATGTTGCTGCCAAACTTTCTGTATTAAGAAATGACTTGTGGCGCAGTAGAGTTGGGAAATGACCACTTTGTCATTAAGGACTAAAAATATAGCATGATCACAGTAAAAAACCCTGATGTTGACAGAGCAGTTCGGGACACACACACACACACACACACACACACACGATGATAATGACTACTGTCTCACAGCTGCCCAGAAGATGACTGAGCAGAAATACAGTAAGAGCTGAAGTCATGTTGTGGACGTCTCAATAACTACATTTTAGACACCAAGGCAGCTCTTACAGCTCTGTTAACCCCCACTAAACTGTGTACAAATGAGCAAAACAAACTGTAAGGAGACCAATGAATCGTGAGTAACATTACCGGAGGAGTGCTGGTGTCCTGTGGCCGCCATGTAGATAGTTAACTGTTTAAAGATACAATAAATAGGTAAAACATGCAGTTAAAGCTCAGAATATCCAATTAATTACTAGTTTACTGTACTAGTAATGTTTAAAGCTCTCACAACACACAGCGGTCGTAAACCAGCAGCCTGGCTGCTGTGCTGCTGTTTGCTCTCTCCCTCTCTCTCTCTCTCTCTCTCTCTCGCTTCCTCCCTCCGGTCATGTGACTGACACCATGTGACCAGATTACTCACAGCTCTGAGCCCCAGATACAGTACACCCATTCACAGCAGATTTATCATTACTTTTATATATTTGTATATATTATAACTGTAACATGACTTACAGCTAAACTTATTTTTATTTTGATAAAAAAAATATCCACCATCCTTACTCTTGTGTCCTGAAGGGCTACACCAGCCTGCTTGTTCAACATGAAAAAATGTTTAGTTTGCTTCCATGATTTAGATTTTTTTCTCATAACTGCTCCCGAAATAATCATCCAAATGTTATCAAATTTGGTACACAAAGTACCCTCAAGGTCACCGGTGGTCAGCAGGATGCTAGATAAAACATGGGTGTCCTTCCAGTGGAGAGAACATGTTAGAAAATGAGTTGGTCTGTCTTTATGTGCTTCTAAATGGTTGAATATGTTAATAGTCCCCTGTGCGTTTTAATGACAGAGGAATAATGCTTATAACTTAAACCAGAGTTGCAAAATAAAACCATTTTGGATCTGATTTTCTGATGCTCCACTGCATGAAGCCTTTTCAGCTTTTTCTCCCCTTCCCCTTAAAGTTATTCAACATTATACATGTACATGACCATACCATCATGAGTGTGACTCACTTGAATTTGCACAAACAAATCCTTAATATTATCAAGTTTTAGTTGTTCTTCAAAAGTGACTATAATTGCCAATATCAGTGTGCATGTGTACTTAGCAAATTAAAAACGTCTAAATTACAATCCTAGACAAAAGCAGCCTGGTATAAGGTGTAAGCGGATCTATAATGGTTGATTTTATCTAAATGAGGTGGTAGAAATGTTAGAAACATTTTCCAGGAGTCTATCATTTCAGTACAGTGCCACCAGTTATTGATAGTGTTCAAAACGGGACTGTTGTGCTGGATTACATTACATTGTACAGGTGTTTCTGCTTGTCTCATCACTCACTGAAAATCAATCAAGTCAATGGTTTTATGAGGTTGTCAAATGTCATTATTTACTGACCTCAGTACAGATTTACCTTGAAGTTTTTTTAGGGTAAATGCAAAAAGAGGCCACCTCTTGTAACAAACTTCAATATTTTACCATTAGTGCAATAATGAATTAAGTAATTAAGAAATATGGTATGCCCCTTAACATCCTAAAGAAC